GTGAAAATGGTTGCACAACACCAAGAATGTCATCAGTGTCACTGAATTGTACACGTAGAAATTGTTGAATTGGTGTATGTTTTGCTGTGTACTTTCTCAACAATAACAACAAAAATAAAATAAATTATATTTTTAAAAAAAGCAATCCCTAACTAGGTGAAAATTCAATAAACTTTACAATTCTGAGAACAAACCTCTCCTTAAGTTTACAGTTTCAGGAGACAAGAGTCTCGTGTTTGCTGATCACAGAGCTTGTAATTACACCTCAGTGACAATTCAAAATCAATTTTTTTTTAATATATTGGTTATGAAAGCATCAAGGGAAAAAATTTCCCAGATCAGAGTTGAAATGATCTTCTGCACATAATCATATCCACCTTCCATGCACAGGTTACATGAACTCCTCCTATCGGCACTCCTCGAGTCCTGCAACAGGACAGTCCCTTCAGTAACATATTCCCATAGTGGCCACCTGATGCCCCGACATGACACTAGCCTTCTTAGGAGCAGGAAGTGCTCACATCTAGAGCCCCTCACTGCCAGGCATGCAGGTCAAAGGAAAAAAAACGTATATCAGAAGTCAGACTACGCATGTCCCCAGAACCGGTGGTGATGTCATCACTCACACGATGGCGAAGTTCCCTCTGAGAGGAAGGGTGCCCTTCTGCAGCACCAGGCCTTCTGTCATACTTGAAGCCTATTTCAACGTGGGCCTTGCACCACCTGAATTCAAACCATTTGGGGGGGTGGGAGAGAGGATTGTCCAAAGGCACTCCTAGCCAGGTTGTGGGTTTTTCTGGGTCTAGCTGTGGTATTTTATCTACTTAAGTCAGCTGGTCTGCATATCCTTAACAGACTGTTTTGGCTTTGCCTAGAATAGGCTTAAAAAACCCATTGCCATCGAGTCAATTCTGACTCATAGCGACCTATATGACAAAATAGAACTGCCCCATAGGGTTTCCAAGGAGCAGCTGTGGATTTGAACTGCCGACCTTTTGGTTAGCAGCCAAGTGCTTAACTACTGTGCCACCAAGGCTCCAAAATAGGCTCGGAGGGTGGGGAGGGGATTCCAAATCCATTCCAAAGATAGGAAAATGGCTGCAGTAAAACGTCTTGCTTTGGGCTCCCAGTGATAAATAAGCACCAATAAACGCATTGCCATCCAGTCAATTCTGTCTCATAGTGACCCTAAATGACAGAGTAGAAATGCCTAAAAGGGTTTCCAAGGCAGTGGTTAAGAGCTGCTAACCAAAAGATCAGCAGTTCGAATCCATCATCTGCTGCTTGGAAACCCCATAGGACAGTTCTACTCTGTCTTATAGCGTCACTGTGAGTCAGAACCGACTTGACGGCAACAGGTTTGGAATCTTTAAGGTAGCAGATCACCAGGCCTTTCTCCCGCAGAGCAGCTGGTGGGTTAGCAGCCAAGCGCTTAACCACTGCACCACCAGGGTTCCTAAGCACCACTGTGGCATAATTTAAAAGTAGCCTCTACCTTTCCCTTCAGCACTTCCTTGCCTATATCAAGTCCCCCATGCCAAGCCTCTTTCTCTCTTCCTTTCTTTCCTAAAAGAGAAGCAACCTCCAGAGTTCATTACCAAAAATAATACAGGCCGGTTACCATGACTCAGCCACCTCTGGCCAGGCCTGTCCCATCCTCTGGAGCACAGGCCTCCTGCTCAGGTGGCTGTCCCACTTCACACCGCCATGGCATCTCTCAGCTGTTCCCTGCTATTCTATCTTCTATTCCATTATGCTGAGCGACAGCTAGTGGGCACCAGCAGGTACCTCCACACACACCAGGCTTCAACCCCAGCCAACTCCATGCTGTCCAAAGGGATGCCTAAGGGGAAGTCTGCCCCTGTGGTTTTGCCAAATCTGAACTTGTCTTTCGTAAGGGATCCATGTCCTAGGTTTGTCTCCCACCCCCTTATACTGCTTGGCATTCAACCCGATAAGCTTGTGGGGCAAGTCCCCTTGGTCGGGGGGACCCCTAGTAACAGGGAGAAGTGAAAAGAGCTGAAGTGATCTTGCCAGAGGCACCATCACATCCTCACTGGGACCCTTCTCACCTTCTAAGAAACCAGGTGTCCCCCAAAGAGGCTGAGGTCAAAACATCCCAGAACATTCTGTAATTTTGATCGTCTTGAAAAATTCTTTGATTTGATCAAACTCCCCCTTTCCCCTCATGTTTATGACACTGTTGGTGAACAAAGGGGCCAAAAACACATTTAGGTTTCCTCCAAACCTAACCCCCAACCCCATACATATGGTCTAGGATGAGTGACAGGCATTCCCAGCCGGTTCAAGGCTAACAGTTCCCTGGACACATCCAATACACTAGAGGAGCTGTGTATTTCAAAACTGGGCTATTTCTGAAAAGGTATGAGGATGAGACTACTCAGAATACCTTCGCCACTGAAAAGGTCACAGGGGCAGAGAAGCCTCTGAGATTTTTCAAAGGAAAGCAAATATTAAACCTTTAAAAACAACTAGATCTGAGTTCTGATGGATGTCAATCCATCTCTTACTGCCTTAGCTATACCAGCACACTCAGGAAGGGACAGATGGTGCTTGCGGTGACCAGTCGGCTAAGAACCAGACTGCAGCTGACTTCCTATGGCATTACTTTTATGAGTTTCAATCACGGCTGGAAGCTCCCTATGACCCAGTCTGTTCTGTGCCTTCATTGCTCAGATCAGGTAGGCAAGTCCTGAGGCCAGACGGACATAAAGGCACCTGGCCGAGAGGTGGGTCAGACACAGCTGGTGTGACAGGTGCAATGTAACTCAAGTCCCCACGACATGTTCCCCATCAGAAAAGTTCTACTCCAGGTTCCGGGTCTGAAGAAATTCTATGTGTAAAGCCCAGTTTTGACCAACTTCAGAATCTCATGAAAAACAGTACAACTAAAGTGAAGAAAACAGAAGGTCACATTTTCTTCTCAAACTTAATGAAGACTGTTGGTACAGCAATTAATTAGCGAAGACGAACAACAAAGTTTTTGTTCGTAAACAGATTAACATGCTAATCCTTTAAAAAAAAAAAGGCCTTGCACAATTAATAGTAGCCATGTGTCAGCCACTTTAATATAAAATGCAATCAAAACTCCTCAATTACAAGAGTTCAAAAAACCATAGAAAAACCAATGAGCTTCAATTTTATTACAAGTTTTAAAATCTGGGACAAGTTTAGTTTTTAAAAAATAACCATATATGCTACTTTCAGCTCAGGGTTCATTTTTCACAACCAAACTAAGAATTACTACATGGGAACATCAATGCAACAAACAAGTAAAATGTGCAAACCCAAGTCACAAACCTGCTAATAAAGTGAATCACGGTAAGGGAAATACACAGCCAAAAAGTAAATGATGCCTCAGTTAAATTTGAAAGAAAATCCTGCCTTCTGCGAGGGCAGAGGAGAAATGTGCAAACAATTCTGCTTCAAGAAATCTGCATAAAAGTAGAAAACAGTAGAGCCTTTATCACAAATGAAATCGCAAAGCCTCAACATGTTAAATTCAATCCAAGGAGCAACAAATGTTAAATTGGAGCCGAGGTGGGACTTGAGCATTTAATTTCCAACTATGCAACTAGCAGAGCACACGAATTTCAGGTGTGGAAATTAGCTGTAGACAAGCTCTTCAGAAGCATGATTATACAGCATAATCATAAAACAATGCAGACGTTTCTGCAGGGTCTCTCTTCAAAGTCACTCTCAAATGCTCTTGATTTTGTCGGCAATTACATTTTTACAACCTCATTAATAACCTCTCACAGTTCTCTACCCTTTGCACTGGGAAACATAATCCCAAGGAGGTGAGCATCATCTTCTCCCTCAATGTCCTGCAGAACCCGTTTGTTTGATCTGTTTAACATTAATTTGTAGAATTACTTCTGACATAAAATCCAGTCCTGGCCTAAGTGGCAGGGCAGCAACTGTTTCCTGGGACTCTGGAAATTCCCATCTTATCTCCTTGGTGTGAATTGTTTCCCACTCACTTCTTCATGCCCCACCCTCCGTGAAAAGGCTAGAGCGCTCTCTGCAGTATAAAATATAGGAAGTCACAGCGGGAAGCTCCACTGCTCATCTCCAGCTCCCCCTGCTGGATGCCAAAGCGACAGTTTGTTGCAAAACAAAGACTTGGAGAATGATTTACAAATTCATTTTTCTACAGAGATTTACTTCATTTAAAACCTGGGACTTCTACAGTCACCCTCCAAACCCTTTTCTGAAGGGCAGTAGAATATATAGCAGTTCTAAAACCAAAACCAAACCCACTGCCATCAAGTCGATTCTGACTCACAGTGACCCTATAGGGCAGGGTAGAACTGCCCAGTAGGGTTTCCAAGGCTGTCATCTTTATGGACGCGAACTGCCATATCTTTCTCCCGAGGAGCGGCTGGTTGGTTTGAACCACGGGCCTTTCGGTTAGCAGCCGAGCGCTTAACCCCTGTGCCACCAGGGCTCCTAGGGAGCAGTTCTACAGAACATTTTATTTCTATAGGAAAAAAAGAGAGCATACATGTAACAGTTTTATCAAGAGTAATTTGTAATTAAAAAAAAGGAAATAATACAAACGCCCCAGAAAGCTGCGTCTTTATTCTCAGACATTTCCCCACAAGAAGAGAACCTCAGAAAGAAGTCACTTGCTTTGCTTTGAATGAATCAGGAGTCCCCGTGTTTGTATTCCTGAATCTTTCTCTTTGAGAAAAAGTACCAGAAAAAACTGACTGTCACATTTTTAAAATAAAATAGTGACTAATTGAAGCTCACATCTCCACACCCTATCTACCCAGTCAATGTAAAATCATCATCAGTTCCCTTAAAGGGGCTGTGCACTTCTATTTTGGTATCACTATACTGAGAACTGAAATTTTCAAGGAGGAAAAAAACCGTATTACAAATGAGTGAGTGAAGCCCAAGTGAAGCCCTTTCCCTATGATTTCCAGTTTTCCGTTCAATCCACACTGCAGAGATACAAGGATAGCCACCTGTTTGGTTCCCAAGTTTTATTCAAGGGCTAATACAAAATATTCCAGAGAAGTGAGTTTTAATCCTCATCTTCTTCCTCTTCTTCGTCCTGGTTAATCTGGAAGTAACGTAATTCATAACTTTCTTTGCTGTGAGCAACTACGCGCAACAAATCACGTAGATTATTCTTCTTCAAATATTTTTTGGTGAGATATTTCAAATACCTGCAGAGAAAGGACACTTGAGAACTACACTACACAGATGGTGTTCTTGCATTCTGAAACATTTTAACTTTTATAAAGCCCTCATTCAAAATAACTTTCCCGTCCTTCAGAAACGGCAACAAAATGGACAATACACAGCCAATGCTTTGACAGGAAGAAATCAGTTACATTGCCTCTAAATTAGCAATAAAAATGAGAACACAGAAGTAGATGTAACAGTTGTCCATTAAACAATTAACAGCAAACACCTATAAAATGGCTTTTAGTGACCACTGGAGAAAAGCTATCATGGTAATAATCTGACAGTTAAGCACAACCTTAATACCCTTAACCGAGGAATCACTGTTACCAGTGAACTTCAAGCACTTCACCTACATCACTCCATTGATTTCACACCTCCCTGTGCAGTGGTTTGTGCTACTGAAGTTGCTTCTTATGGCTCACTTCCACCACATGATGCCCGCGATCAGCCCTGCAGACACCCTGCCCTCACTCCAGCTCTCTGCAGTGACGGCATTTAGCTCTTTTAATCCACCTGCCTAATTGCTGCCTCAGCCTGGATGAGAGCTAAAGGAGTACCGACAGCAAACTGCTCATTAGAAAACTTGCTCTTTATATAAAAGCACAAACTGGCCTTTTGTGCCCAACAATCTTGTTTCTTCTCTCACCTGTTTGCTTCCAAGGCCCTGAGGGTTATCTATTCCGGTATCTTCCCAAAGCCATAAAGAGAAGACGGAATATGATGCCAACCAAACGCACTGCTGGGAAAATTAACCTTCACAAGCCTCAGTTTTCCCGAGTATAAAACATGAATAGGGATTCTTACCATCTCTTCAGATGGTTGTGAGGATTAAAGAGATGCCCATGCAGACCCTGGCATATTAACAAATACCCAGATGTTACCATACCAACACTCACCCAGCTCCAAGAAATGAGTACTGTTTAACAGTGTTACACCAACAAAGTAATCTTCACAAAGATGTGAAGATCTCAGTTCAAGTCTATCCGCTTTTCCCTACATAAAAATAAATTAATTGGTTGTTCCATCCATATTCTCCTTTGGTAAGGTTTTCAATTCAAAAGTTCAGGTAGTTTGAAAACTTGTATAATAGAATGTTGGGGGAAAATTAGGTAAAAACCTGCAGAAGCTCAGAGAGGCAAGCAGAAAATGTTCTACTATCATAATTTCCATGGAAAGGAAAGCTATAAGATTAACACTCCTTCCCTTTCCCTCTGGGTAAGGAACAAAAAACCTATGAACCTCTGAGAACTGGAGACATGTTAGAAAACATTCTCCTGCTAGGCTGGTAAGCTTAGATGCAGGCCACAGAAAGGTTATGGAATCTTCTTCAGGGGCCCTGCTAAAACCCAGCAAGTTGGATATCCTGTATTCCCTGGAGGCCCTCAGTTTCACCGTCTCCTACTCCACCAGCTCTCCTTCCACACAAATAACTCAGCCAATCAGACTGTGTTCTTCACATAAGCTTAAAGTCATCTTTTGACTGATTTGGCTAAAAATAAAAGCAATTATAACCAATTTGTCCTAACACACCTTTAACAATTCTCACTACTAGATTTAGTATAAATAAAAGCTCTTAAGAATATGCCAGGCCCTGGACCAGAGCTACGTATAAACCTGTCCATTTCTTCAGTGAAATTAAAACATTTCTAAACAATCCTGTAAGACAGCAGGACAAACGAATTACTGTCTCCATCCTGAAAAGAAGGAAAATGGGGCCACAGGAGTTCTGTCGAGCTGATTCAGCCTGAAACTGGATTCCTAGTCCAATGCCATAATAGAACTTATAGAAAGAAAAAAAGAAATCAAAGTTCTTGTGACCGAGGCAAAGGAAGCATAATCTTTACTTTTAGGAATACAGTTCCAACATGTCTAAGCATCTTTACGGCTTGAAATAATTAGCCCATGAGAAACAAAATTAAAGAAAAAAAACTACCAAAAGGTGAATACTTTTAATTACCATTCTAACATCAATTTATCCACTGCCTTTGTACTGGGCACTGTTCCAGAAATTAACAGATATAACCACAAAACAAATTACTCTATAGGCAGCAAAACTGCTGTTTAGGAGGGTGGGAATCTTGGTACTATGATGTATGCTAATAACAATCTCCCTTACCTTTTGGAAAAAGGCACCTCGGAGGTAACAGTAATCTTGCTCTTGCTTCTTTCGATGGTTACAACCCCTCCGCCAAGATTACCAGCTTTCCCATTAACTTTGATTCTTTCTTGAAGAAACTGCTCCTGTAGAAACCAAACTGACCAATTAGTGAAGACACAGGTTCACCCATCTCACCAGAATATTTTAACTTATACTTTTAATACTGAAGAAAAATAGTTGTCTTTTAAAAACGTTTGTTGTTGCTGTTGTTAGTTGCCATCGAGTCGGCTCCAACCTTAGATATAACAGAACCTAACTCTGCCCGGTCCTACTCCATCTTCACGATCATTGGCATGTCTGAGTTCAGTGCCGTGGCTACTGTGTCAATCCATTTCACTGAGGGTTTCCCTCATTTTCACTGACCCTCTACTTTGCCAAACATGATGTCTGGTCTTTTCTAATGACATGTCCAAAGTAAGCGAGTCAAAGCCTCTCCATCCTCACTTCTAAGGGGCAATCTGGTTGTATTTCTAAGACCGACTTGTTTGTTCTTCCGGCAGTCCATGGTATAGTCAATATTTTTCTTCAACACCACAATTTGAATGCATAAATTCTTCTGTCTTCCTTTTTCATTGTCCAGCCTTCACATGTATGAGGTGACTGAAAAAACCATGGCTTAAGTCAGGTGCACCTTAGTCATCAAAATGACATCTTTGTTTTTTTAAAACTTTAAAGAGGCATTTTTTCCTCCATTTATCATGATGCTGTTTATTGGTCTATTTAAATATTTAGTCTTTTTAAAATAATAGCAAATCTTCAGGATTAATATAAGGTCTGAAATCTAAGAACAGTAGGTAGAAAATGGCAGTAGTTCCTTACATATATATATTATATAATATGAACACAACATTCTCGCATGAATATACTTCACTGCTTCCACACAAGATCAAATATGTCTCTACCTGGAAGACTCGGGGAGATGGGAGGGGAGGGGGAAATGTACTGATGGGTCAAAGGGTGAAGAGTAGACAGGAAACCCAGGGCCAAACTTTCACAAGTGAACAGGCAACTGAAGCTGCAGGGAACTTCTAAATTTAAGGAGTACAAAGCACTGTCCTCAGCACTATCAGAGCAAGTAAGTTTTTGACCTAGTAGAAGCAGCAAAGCCACCCACAGATCTGCTCAGGCACCACATGCATGGTAGAGCAGAAGGGGCAGCAGCCCAAAAGACCAGAGAGAAACACTCTGCACACCCCCCATGTGAGCTTCTCCAAGTTATTCACCTCCATGAACTTCAGGGGTCTTTGTTCAAAAAAAGAATGAAGTTTTTTTGGGTTTTGTTGTTGCAATGAATGCTGCACCGTTGTATGCAGACCCTAAGTCCCCTTCAGCTCAAAACTCCTACAATTCTCTACTTTAAAAATCCAATACATGATAGGTTAACTGCTGATGGAGTAGTTATTAGATCAGAAATCTTGATTTTTACATCTTAGATTAACAAAGGACTCAAGTTTTCTATTCTGAAGAGGCTTCTAGGAGGAAAGAGAATCGCATACACAGATGAGGGGGAGGGGGGACACGGCATGCAGAGGAAGGGAGGCAGGAAAAACCCTGATGGGGCCACCACATGGACACTAAATTGAATAGGCCAGAGGAAAGCAAGGTACTGGATAGAGAGACTTGACAGAGAAGGAACTAAGCCAATTGAGGAACTTCTTGCAGGACAGGGATGCAAAAGGCTAGACACAGGTAATAAACTGAAAAAATCAAAACCCATTGCCATCGAGTCAATTCCAACTCAGAACAACCCCACCGTTACAGAGCATAACTGCTCCATATGGTTTTCTTGGCTGTAATCATTATGGAAGCAGATCGCCAGGTCTTTCTTCCACGGTGCCACTGGGTAGGTTTGAACTGACAACCTTTAGGTTAGTAGTCAAATGCAAACCACTTGTGCCACCCAGGGATCTATAAACTACAACAGGTTAGCTGAATTCCATTCTGTATAATTAGTGGCCATAAGTGAACTTTTAATGTTTTTTTTGGCAATAGTTGAACTTCCGAAGACTGAAAACTAGAGGTAAATGTAGGAGACTTAAGCATACAAAGAAGTCTGCATTCCCCAGGCATGGCCATTAGAGAGGAAAAGAGTAAAATGCCAAAACCAAGTTGCAGAGTTAAAATGTGGCACTGAGGTTATTTAATTTTTCTAGGTTTAAGTGAAATCGAAGAATATTGGGGAATAAGGCCAATGGGGCAAAAAAATCAGTAGAGGGCATGGTCTCAAAGAACCAAGCTCCTTACAAGTCAGCAAGCAGAAATTTTTAAACTACACACTGACACCCCAATGCTGATTAAAATGGAAAGCCTCAGAAGATGCTGCCACCTGTCCAATGCTTCTGGCCAAGCAGCCAGGCCCAGAAGTGAGGCAGTCCCTGTTAGGAGCCTCAGGCCCACACCAAAGTGCAAGAGGGGTGTTGGGCCCAATGAACAGTTTGCCTGTTTCTTTGTAACTTTTAAGTAAAATTATTTTTGGAAACTAAAGAAAAGGGAGAAAAGATAATTCTCTAGTACCTATGTGCCAGGCAACATGCGAAAGGCTTTACAAGCTCATCTCATTTATTCTTCACAACCCTGTTACACACACAAAGGAAAGCAACTCTTACAAAAAGATAACTTGACCAAGCTCCCAGAATTAAATGGTAGAGCCAGAACTATGGAGTTGTCTATAAGCCTGAAAACAGAAATGTGCTCCAGTAGGGTTTCTCAACAGGGCGGTGGTGGTTCAGTGGTAGAATGCTCACCTTCCATGTGGGAGACCCGGGTTCAATTCCTGGCCAATGCATCTCATGCACAGCCACCACCTGTCTGTGTGTGGAGGCTTACATGTTGCTGTGATGCTAAAGAGGTTTCAGTGGAGCTTCCAAACGAAGACAGACTAGGAAGAAAGGCCTGGGGATCTACTTCCGAAAAATCAGCCAATGAAAACCCTATGGATCACAATGGCCTAATCTACAACAAATCGCCGTGATAGGGCAGGACCAGGTAGCATTTCATTCTGTTGTGCACGCTGTTGTCATGAGCCAGTTGTCATGAGCCGGGAGCTGACCTGACAGCAGCTAACAACAAGAGGGTTTCTCAACAGTATCTCAGAAGATTTATTACTCTGTAATGAGTGGCATCAAACATGTAACTTACAAAATTGGCAGCATCCATGATTCCATCTTCTACAGGGTGGGTGCAGTCAAGCGTGAACTTCAGAACCTGCTTCTTTTTTTTGCCCCCCTTCGCCACAAGCTTTTTCTAAGATTAACACACAAACGATAACAGAAGATGAGGCCCACCAGTCAAAACAAAATTAGCAGAAACAAAATGCCAAAGTGTAAAAGCCCATACAAATGCAAAACCCATACAGGTGTATCCCTGTGCAGGTCACCAAGAGCCTGGCTCTGCCCAAGAGTGGCAAACGGATGATACCAAAGAGGCTGCTCTACAAGGCTTAGGGGCCTAGGGTTCCCCTTTTAATGGGAAAATCACTCTAGCACTCTTGAGTCATTTAAATTTTCCAGCCTCCCCAATCTCTCTGGGTATAAAGAAAGGTCTGTTGGCTTCTGAACCACAAAAAAAAGATTACCTTTTATTTGCCCTAAAATTTCCAAATAACATTTCAAGGAATGCTCAATTCTTTTATTCCAGGATTAGTACACAGACATACAAATGCCTTGGACACCTGAAACAATTTTAATCTGAAATCAGCACTTGTCCTAACTCTCCGGACTCCAGTCCTGATGCATTTCAGCTGTTCTCTCTTAAGCCTGTTTTAAGCCATCTTTTCAGGAGCAGCAACCAGAACAGCAGTGTTCTAGCTGCTTGTCCACCCTAGTTTGTACAACAGGCTAAAACTTGGGTTATGATTACAACACTGCTGTCAACAACTCCAGGCCTTTTGCTTGATTTAACCTATGAATTAATACTTCTAAAACACAAGTTACAGCACATCCTATGAGGTTCTAGTTTCTTCACTCTTACCAAAAAGCTTATGTTAACCTTCTCTACAAATGTATTAAAAGTACATTTGTACAACCTACTTATCTGTACTTACTTTAAAAAAGCTCTGCTGAATCTAAACATTAAAATACCTCTTTCCAAGAACACATCTTACCTCCATCCTTATGTTTAAAAGAACTTCATCTAAAGCTTTTAATTGAGTCAACTTTTCAAACATTTGTTGTTATTGTTAGGTGCTGTCCCATGGATTTTCCACTCATAGCAACCCCATGTGACAGAACAGAACTGCCCCATAGGGTTTTCTTGGCTGTAATCTTTACAAGAGCAGTCTGCCAGGTTTTTCTCCTGCGGAGCTGCTTGGTGGGTTCGAACCGCGAAATTTTCAATTAGCAACCCAGCACTTAAACGTTGCACCAGCAGGGCTTCTTTTCAAACATTCAGCTACTGCAAAAATCACAGATTTTGTTTGTACAACGTCTCTCCCCAATAACTACCAAGAGGGCTGCTTTAAGATCTAGATCCGGAAATATAAAATCAGCAAGTAAAAGAACTGCCCACAAAGGGCTTGATGCCTCCCATCATAGTTTTAAACCAAAGGCATACAAATGCATAGAAGCATTTAACAGGCCACCCAGGCAGAACGAGTAAAGCAACTGCAGACGTTAACAAGGGCGCCCCTACACCGGGGGAAAGGTAAGATCTTGGGGCGAACAACACCGGAAAACAACTTTCTTCAAGCACCCTTGAACGACCACGGCACATTCCATTGCCAGTCTGGCTAAGGGAGAACAGCATTGGGGACCTTCGCCCTACACCAAAAAGGGTCTGTACAACCGCGCCCTGAGAGAGTAATTTCCTCCGAGAACACTAACTAAAAGGCTCCTCAACCCAGGCCTTCTCTCTGAAATCAGGCCGAACGGAGCAACCTTTTGGTGACGATTTCCACCAAAGCGCGGCTCCCGAGGGTGGCAGGTCCCCTTCTTCCTCCCTGCCCCCCGCTCAGGTAGCCAGGCCCAGACCCTGGCTGCCTCACGCCGGCTCCGAGTGCCTGTGAGCAGCCCAGGCCGCAGCCTCCACGCTCCAGCTCCCTGCCAGCCCCAGGCAGGAGCGCGTGCCCGAGCCGCGGCCGCCGAGAGCTCCCCGATCGCCCTCCCGGGCCTCAGGCCGCGGCCTCCCCGCCCACAACGTGCTGGGCCCGGCAGCGGCCCTAGCCCGCTCCGGCCGTCCTGCTGCCTCAACCCCGGCCGGACGCTGCAGAGCGACGTCCCCCGGGAGGCTGGGCAGAAGCTGGGCCCAGCGATGCCCACGTGCCTCTCCCGAGCGGAGGCCTCACGAGGAGCCATACTAACCACAGGTGCCATGGCGGCAGCCGAGGCAGAAAGGGAGTTCAGTGAACTACGCAGACGCAAAGAGCCCGCAGCGCGCAGAGCACGCAGGGCTCAGGCAGCACGAATCGCTTGGCCACGCCCCTCTATCGTCGCGGCCTCGCTCTGTTCTGTACTATCAGAGAGCTATTAGTTTTTCCTGAATGCAAAACTCGTTCCTCCCCGGCTGGCAGGGGTTGTAGGGGGAGAAAGGAGGCTCGGTGGCCGAGCACACTGCGAATGGTCAGAGGGGGGAGGAAGGCTGTGGAGGAGCCCAGAGAGAAATAAAGGGTTGGCTCTACTTCTTAAACTTCTTGGAAAGAAAAATAAAATAACAGGGGAATTCATCCAACCGCAAATTATAAGATAGTGGGATGCTAATCGAACCCACTAACTTGATGAGGGGAGGGCTTTCTAGCCATGGAGAAATCGAGGAAATCCGAAGTCGCCGTGGCTCCATCTACTACCGATTCTTCCTACCTACAAGCGCCCAGGTAGGAAGCTCACGCCCAGGGGCTGTTCTCTCAGTGCTGCCTCTCCTAGTTATAGCTGGACCAGCAGGAGCATCGCCCGAGACTTCGTGAGAAATGCAAATCTCTTCAGTGTGACCAAACTCACTGCCATCGAGTCTATTCCAACTCATAGCGACCCTATAGGACAGAGTAGAACTGCCCCATGGGGTTTTCAAGGCAGTAATCTTTACCGAAGCAGACTGCCACATCTTTCTCCCGCGCCAGTGGCTGGTGGATTCGAACCATCAACCTTTTGGGTTAGCAGCTAAACTCTTAACCACTGTGCCATCAGGACTCCTTTGCCTCTCCGCCCCCCACCCCCAGCTCAAATTCAAGCAGCCTACACTTTGATCCTCACCTCTTAGTATTCCAGCTCCCACCTTCTGGTTTCCCAGTAAGGAGAACAGCGCATCTCAAACTTGTGTGTAGATAGAAATCACCTTGACATCTGGTTAAAATACAGATTCCACTCAGCGGGGTCTCCGTGGCGTGAGATTCTGCCATTTCTCACAAGTTCCCAGTTGATGCTGATGCTGCTGGTCCACAGCCCACACTTCGGGTAGTGAGGGTCTTCACACCTAGACCTACAACCCATTAGGAATTATATTCCAGGGTCCTTTGTTGTATTCACTCACCTTCCACTCCATTTACCTGGCTTCATTGTACTTACCTAGTAAATGCCCAATTGGGGCTTAGAAATCATTGGAGGAAACCCACACGACACTGTCTAGTCTAGGTTTAAACTCAGGACCACTGTGTCAGTTATCAGCCATGCTCTAAACCCACCCTGCTATTCTTGACGTTAAGATGCTGGGGCTGGGGACTCGGCAAACCACAATTCTCTGCCAGCTCTCTGGGTTATATTCAATATCAATAGGGGCGGCTACAGGGGAAATGGCAAAGCTGGAGAAAGAAGACGAGACATGTTCTTCCTGCTTGTTCTTGCTCCTGTCTGTGTCACCGACTCTAGCTTTTTCATCCTGGCAGTGGCCATTGGAATATTCCAGAAGCAGCAGTTGAATCCAGTTTACAGTTATTCTAACCTGCAGAACCAGCCTGATTGCTCCTCTCCCTGGAGACAATAGCTCAGCCTAGCAGAACTTCCTCCTCCTCAGATGTGAGTTTCAGCTACCTACAGCCCCTCCTTCAAGCTTCTACATTTTAATAATATCACCCGAGGAGTGGTATAGGTAAAGATGATGCAAACGGTTTGCACTTGACTACTACCCTAAAGGTTGGTGGTTCGAACCCACCCAGCAGAACTGCAGAAGAAAGGCCTGGTGATCTGCTTCTGTAAAGATTACAGCCAAGAAAACCCTATGGAGCAGTTCTACTCTGTAACACGTGAGGTCTCTATGAGTTGGAATTGACTGAACTGCAACAGGTCTGACTTTTTTGGTTAAGGAGTGGTAACCGTTTCCTGCAGTTGTTCCCTTCTTATTCTACCGCTTCAGTTACCTAGTTAACATCTGTTATGGATTGAATTGTGTCCACCAAAAACATGGGTTGTGAATCGTAATCCCTATACATGTGGTTATGATCCCATTTGGGAATATGTTTTCTTTGTTATGCTAATAAGGCAGTATTAGTGTAGGTTGTATCACTTTTGAGATATAAAAGGAGCAGATTAGGCAAGCAGAGATGGGGAAAGATAGATGCCACACCACATGAACCACGGAACAAGGACCTTCCCCCAGAGCAACAGAGAGAGAAAGCCTTCTCCTAGAACCAGCGTCCTGAATTCGGACTTCTAGCCTCCTAAACTGTGAGAGAATAAATCTCTGTTTGTTAAAGCCACCCACTTGTGGTATTTCTATTATAGGAGCACTAGATAACTAAGACAACATCTTTGTATTAAATTATCTCAATTAAAAAACTAGTGTCTCCTGCCTGAACTCTGATACAATTCCTAACTCAAGCAAGCCCTCTGGGCTGTCTGACAATCCTCAAATCCTCTCCTAGGTAACTAATTCACACCTCTGAGCAGACTGCCAGCCCCTCCTCCCCACACTTCCTGCCCAGCTGTTGACTTCCATTCCTCACATCTCAGACACTCCCACCTCCACATCTAACCACTCAGCAACATCTATCCCCCAGACCCTGCCTTCCCTCCTGTTACTATGGAAGATGCATTCTTGGTCCCAAATGAGGCCATCCCCTACAGCCAGGAATTGATCTCCTACACTTTTGCCTACTTGAATACATCTCTCCAATAATTCTCACCCCTCTCATGAAGGCATCAATTTATCCTTTCTTCTGGATTATTTCCATCACCACTGAAACATCTTTTAACGTCTCCCATCTTAAAAAAAAAATCCCTTGACCCTTGACATTCCCCTTTAGTTACCACCCCATTTCTGTCATCTCTTTGCACAATACTTCTTGAAAGAGCTGCTTTGTGCACTATCTCCAGTTTCTCTCCTCCCATTTTCTGTTTCACCCACTCTCATCAGACTTTTGCCCCCATCTACCAGAACAGCTCTTGTCCAGGTCACCAGGCACTGCCCCCTGCGAAGCACCATGGCCAGTTCTCAATCCCCCTCTTCCTACAGCTCTTAGCAGCATTTGCCTCCATCAGTCCTCCCTCCTCCTTGCAACACTTTCTTACCTGGACTCCCAGAAGGATGCTCTTTTAGTCCTACTCTTTCCTCCCTGGCTGCTCTTCCTCCTTGCTGCTTCCTCTTCATCCCTGAACTTGAAGTGCCCCAGGGCGCAGAGTTCCTCTCATCTTTATCTATACATACACTAGCAGCTCTCACCCAGCCTGGTGCCTTTAACTATGGCCCCGAGTCTATGCGTGCAGCCTCTGCCTTGCCCCTGAACTCTAGACTCATATAGCCAATGGCCTCCTTGACATCTCTAGTCTCAGGTGCCCAGTAGACCACCCTCACCTTCAAGCCCCCACCGTCACCCTAAGACCCCCCTCCTCCTCTCTCCCCATTAACCCCCAACTCTTACCCTCAGGACCCTACCTCCACCTCTTCACCCTCACTGTCAACTCCTTACCCTCTTCCCCACCTCCCTACCTTCAAGCTTCCCTTATTCCTACAAGACCACCAGCCCACCCTCACCCTCACCCTCATCCCTCCACACTCACCCCCTAGATCTCATTCTCATCCTTGCCACCTCCCCATGCACCCCCCTTACTCTCACACCCTTCACTTCTCTGGCCTCCATCCTCACCCCATGCTCATCCTTACCCCACCCTCACCCCACTCCTTACCTGAGTGCCCTTATCTCTGGTCTTCTTTTCTCTCCTGTACATTTATCCCAACTTCTGGGATTTTGCACTTGCTGTTCCCTCTGCTTGGAACTTCTCCTGGCTTTTCTTATGTCTGATCTCTTCTCATCCTTCAGGGATTTCATGCACCCCTCTGCCCATGGTTATCATTGTGGCCCTCAGCTCCACCCCCTCCCAGCTGCCCTTCATCACATCATTACTTTCTTCATAGCATTTAACACAGGCTGTCACAATTGTCTTTATTTGTGGACTTGGTTCAACTTGGCTGGCAGGTCCCCTTCTGTGTCCCAGTGCCTAGTACAACATCCAGCCCATCGTAGATGCTCAGTAAATACTAGTCAAATGGATGAAGACATTAATGAGTAAATTGAAAAAACACACAACTACAGAAACATCTTGCCTCTCCTGCTGCCCCTCCAGAGGGAAATGAATGCATCATCCATTTACAAAGCACACACCAGCTTTTGTAAACCAGCTCTACCACTTACTAGGGGTAACATTCTCTACCTCCTAAGGCTGTTGTCAGGAGTAAATGAGTTAATACAAGTAAAAGAGCTTTAAATAGTACCTTGGCCAACAAACATTAGCCATTGTTGTTATTGTTACTCGGAACACAAATGGAGCCAGGGCTAGGGAGGACCCTGAAAAAAACAGAGCTTCTGCTTAGAATTCACTTCCTTCTCCTCCTGA